TCTCTCTGTGTCTGTCAGCCCAGTGCAGTCTCTGTCTGTCTCTCTGTGTCTGTCAGCCCAGTGCAGTGTTTCTGTCTCTCTCTGTGTCTGTCAGCCCAGTGCAGTGCTTCTGTCTCTCTGTGTCTGTCAGCCCACTGCAGTGTCTCTCTCTGTCTCTGTGTCTGTCAGCCCAGTTCAGTGTCTCAGGCTCTCTGTGTCTGTCAGCCCAGTGCAGTGTCTCTCTCTGTTCCCCTGTGTCTCTCTGCCATGTGCATTGTCTCTGTCTGTCTCTCCCTGTGTCTGTCAGCCCAGTGCAGTCTCTCTCTGTCTCTCCCTGTGCCTGTCAGCCCAGTGCAGTTTGTGTCAGTGTTTCTTCTCTGATGCAGGATCTTCAAGAAGAGGAGGGGTGTGCGTGTCAGGGGTCATGCACCTGTATGTACCTGCAGTGATTCTGAGGAGCCAGTCAGGGCCACCACATCAGCCAGTGGTGGGTGTGTCTTGCCTTTGCTCTGTTGATAGATTAATGCCTCTCATTCACTAGGCAGGTGACATTTTTCTACAGTGTTGTTCAGGTGTGATTTGTTTTTTACATTTTGCTTTTTTCTAAGGCCCACGATTATTTTTTAGGGTAAAAAAAAAAGAAATGCAATCAAAAGGCTGGTGACATTAATCTTTTCTCTTTTGATGAAATTCCAAATAATTACCATTTCCATTGAAGAACACACCACATTATTGCCTCTAGTATATTCCATAAAAATAAATAAATTATTTCCAGTTTTGCACTTCTAATAGTAGTTTTAAACTTAATTATTATTGCTCTGACTCATTATAGCCCATAAATGTATATGAAATATTCTCAAGACCAGAATCATACTAGAATCTGTGAACTCTTCCAGCACCAAATCCTTAAAACCACAAGGAGCTCAGGCCTAGTAAATTCTCAATAACAGATCCAGTCTAGCTCAGATATGCTGTTTTTTAACCTCTTTCTCCCCTTCTTACAGCACAAGTTGCACAACCTGCTGTGCAGTCCAGGTAAGCAAACCCAGTGTCTGTGTGTCCTGTAACTGTTCCCTCCTCCCCACTGAGAGCTGGTGTGCGGTGAGCGTTCTGGTGCACTATGGCTGCCATCGCATCATCCAGGTGGATGCTGCACATTGGTGGTGGTGAAGGGGATCCCCATTACCTGTAAAGCACTTTGAGTGGAGTGTCCAGAAAAAGCACTATATAAGTGTATATAAGCAATTATTATTATTATTATTATTAATAATAATAATAATAATATTATGTGTCTCCTCACAGCTCTGTGAAAAAGATGCTTCTTCTGTTTGTTCTTCTGGTATTATTGGCCGTTGGTAAGTGGTCATGCTGAATTTTCGTAACTATTACAATGTCGTTTTTCTTTGTGTGACTGTGTTTGTTTCTTAGATCATGAAAGAAATAGGAGTTTATCGTCTGCAACCGCATTTTTACTACTGTGGTATTTCCTTAGGAGTTTGGTTTATCATAAGAAGCACCTTTGTAAAAGTATTTGTCATCAGGCCAAGACCAGTGCAACATTAGTTTAGAATAGCACATTTCTGTATTCAGCGATGTACCTTGTAGCATACAGACTATGCAATTCATTAAAACATTTGACTAATAATACTTCATTCAGTTAATACCTATATCAGAGGCAATATTAAAATCCAATAAACTGTAAAAAAGAACAACAATGCAAGGATATATAATGCAGAGGGGTGTAAAATAGGGATTTGGCGAAGAAATATAATATCAACTGTCAAAAAAATGAACACAAAGATTGTTAACTGAAGAGTTACCAAAAACCTCGCAAGGCACAGGAGTAATAGCCGTAAATAAGCCAATCAAAAGGCAATATGATTCTCACTACTGTTTATCTAAAGTTTATTTCATTAGTAGGAAAATATATATTTGCTTTGAATTAATTTTTTTTTGCTAGAGCAACTGTGTACAGCTTGTGTAGTGGCGAGTGTCGTGTTTCCTCGGGGCGGCTTGTGTTGGGCACTGTTCTCCAACAGGGGTCTCAGTCTTCCCGTCTCTGTTCCTGGCAGGCGTTTGCTGTGGGTTTTATCCGCTCAGTGTTTCCTCCAGCTCAGCAGGTTCTCTGGCAGGCAGTGGAGGTGCCAAGGTAGGATGAGTGTCTCACACCCAGAATGACCCTGAATTACAGAAATCTTTACTTTTTGATGACCTGTTACTGTCTTTACCTAAGCAGTCTGAGAGAGCATCTGGGAGACACCTCTGTGCCTCCAGGTGTAAACCCAACAGACTCAGGAAATCTTTCATTACCACTGCAAATACACTCTTAAACAATGCAAAGTAACAACCTTGTCTCTTACCTCCTGTAACACTACTGTGTTCTCTTCCATTTTGGTGATGTCTGTTTGTGTTGTGTTTGACTGTGCCATAAAACAAATTTCCCCCAGGGGACAATAAGGCTTGAATTGAATTGAATTGAGTGAAGTACCTTTAGATAGATACTTTATTGATCCCGTGAGGGAAATTGCAGTGCACCAGCAGCTTAACACAGTCAACACAAAACAGTGTAATGAATGATATAATAATAATAATAATAATAATAATAATAATAATAATAATACATACATACATACAATACAATCAGTACAGTGAGAAGTGCACTAATAAGAGTTACTCACAGTCCAGAACATACAAAGAACAAACCAGAACAGTACACAAAAAGTATACTTTATCAACATCGGGGATCTGAGCCACTGCCTTCTGATTCTAAGCCCAGACCAGCCTTCACTATTGCACTCTGCTGCCTTTTGATTGCCCACCAGAATCATTTAATGCTTCCTTTCTGGTTATGTAACAAATGTAATCAGTTCAGTTCAGTTTATTGTCATATGCACAAGTGCAATTAAATGCTTATTTGCGTGTATGCTCCAATACAAGACATTTAGGAAACACCAAAAATATAATCGGTAATCTGACAGAATCTGATGTTCGTGCCTTTATGCTCCTATAACGTTTACTAGAGGGAAGGGGGGAGAAAAATTAGAAGCCAGGATGACTGGTGTCCTTAGTGATACTTCCAGCCTTCCTGAGGCAGCGAGTTGTAAAAATGTCTGTAAATATGCTGAGAAAGAAACTAGAGTAAGAACACTACAGTGAAGTAGAATACTCAATCCATGCCAATAAAGTCACATACATCAATTATACTTTATTCATGCTGTTTTAATGAGTGCAGGGACTAAGCCAATGAACATTAAAAAACTCAGGTTCAAGAATTAAGAATTAAGTGTTTAATTGAGCATTTTCAGACATAAATGTGACAATATATAATAAAATAACCTTGAAATAAATGTTTACGTTAAATCTTAAATCTGAGTAACTAAATATTAACTCTAATATTAGTTTAAATAATAACTCTAATATTAAACTAAATATTTAACTCTAAATATAAATCTGAGGTTTCCCATGTAAAAGAATGCTGTATATTTGGACGTTATTTCAGCATTATTTACCTGGAGGGGATGGATCGTGGGCTTGGAATAGACAGCAGTAAGGCAGTTCAGTTTCAGCCTGAGATTATAGCACAATCCAGAGACCTTGCAAGGTGTCACAGTAGAAAAATATGCAGTATAAATGATATCTTCTTTTTATGTGCCAATAAATCACACATGCACAGGCATAGTGTCACAGGTGTCAAGTGTGCTGCCTGAGCTTTGTGTTTGTGCTGCCACCTGCTGGTTCTAAAAGGAACTGCACTGGTTAGGTACTATAGGTACTGCTCTGAATGGATGAGGTCTTTCATTCACTTTCCTTCTTCACTGTCTGTTCCCCTCTGTCTTGGCAGCACCCTGAAGTCCTGACGCGTCTGTCAGCTCTGGAGTTGGAAGTGCAGAGGCTGAAGAGAGAGGGAGGGCATGAGAAACAGAGGGAGGGAGGACTGAAGGGGACACAAGCACCTGAATTTGCCTACCTTGGGGTCTCCGAGACTGAAAAATGGGGGAGAATCCAGGTACCCCGTTGGGGCAGCACAGTCATGTGAATATGGAAGGGGAAGGGGGATCTTGTGATGAGCAAAGTATTAACAGTCCTGCCTCCTTTTCCAGTTACATTTGATGACTGTAATGTGTTTTTATTGGCCCAGTCAGAAATACAGTTTAACAAGCACCCATCTCCCTTGTCAAAATGTTCCCAGGTGGTAGTGTTTTGAACTCGTTTCTTTGTTGCAGAAAGAAATCGCGCTGCTGAAAGAAGAAGGAGAGAGGAGATGGACTGACATAATCAAATCATTTCACCATGTATCTGAGGTACCATGCACTCAAAAACCCAGACTAGCTTGTCACAGAATGTAATCAGCATGCCCTCCAGAATATCTCTGGACTGGAAATCTGTTTCATTGCAACTGCAAGCTAATAAACACTTCCATCATTAATTGTGCAGATGATGTGCACGGCTCAGGAAATACACACAAGTGCAAACATGCACCTAGGGTATTGCATGTTTGCATATGCAATCAGTAACACTGGTGGCATCCTTTATGAAACACTTTGTATTTTAAGAAAAGATTATTGAATAGCGGCGCCAGGTGATGCAGTGGTCAGCATTGCTGCCTCACAGCACTGGGCCCTGGGTTTAATTCCAGGCCTGGGGTACTGTCTTTGTGGAGTTTGTATGGCCTCCCTGTGTTTGTGTGGGTTTCCACCAGGTGTTCCATTCCAAAGATATATTGGTAGCTTAACTGGCTCCTGGGATAATTGGCCCTGGTGTGTCTGTGTGTGTGTGGCAGTGTTTGTGTTTGTGTGTGCGTGGTGGTGTTTGTGTCTGTGTGCCCTGCAATGGACTGGCACCCTGCCCGGGGTGTATCCTGCCTTGCACCTGTTGCTTGCTGGGATAGACTCCAGCTCCCCTGTAACCCTCTATTGAATAAAGCAGTGAGAAAATGAATAGATGCATATTGTCATTGCAAGAGAATGCCTGTGTAAGCATAAAATTAATGAGCTCTTATCACCGATTTCTTCTTTTGACTTGCCTTTCCTTCAGGAATGGGAAGCTGACTTGTTGGCCATGAAAACTGCTTTGAAAAGGTAAGAGAATGTTCACTAATCCTGTTTTGTCGGGGCTGAATGCATTCTGTATTACTCCTGAGACTGGTGTGGTCTTATACCCCTGATACCTACCTTAGACTGGTCTTATACCCCTGATACCTACCTTAGACTGGAACCTCCAGTCATTAGTCCACTGGTCTGTGGATGTAGTGGTAAGTGGTTTAATAGCCGGTGGGTTGTGGGTCAGAGTCCCTGCTGCAGACATTGCTGTTGCACCTTGAGTGAGGTACTGTACCCCAGTGGCTCCAGTCCACCCAGCACTATGAGTGTGGACCAGCATTGCTGGGCGGGAGTGATCCCTGTGACGGACCAGTGTCCTGTCCAGTGAGAGGGAGGGAGTCACAAGCTCTCTGGTCCTCTTAAAACAACAGAAACCATGGATGAACTCTTTGCCAGTGAGCCACTGTGGCCCTTGTATGGAAACTATTTGAAATGTTGTAATTTCCATGCAAGCTTCTCACCACCTTGAGCTTTTAGATGAGCTTTAAGACAAGAAGGTTTAAAGTCTGAATTATATTAAAGGGAATTAAGAGCAAGAGCAAGAGACGACACTTCCCTCAGTTATTTTTAGTTCTACAGTTCTGGTTAGACATCAGTAAAACAAATTCCTGCTTTCATCCCTACCCAAAAAGAAAGGAATAAGAACTCCCAACCCTGAGACCTTGTTCACTCCAGTCCGTCTAAAATCCGTAAATGACAAAATTTGTAACTTAAAAAGATGCCAAAATTTGTGAATAATTTTACAATTAATAGATTCCAGGGGAATGAAAATGTGCCACAGTATAGTCCATAATATCCAAGAAAACAGCTCAGGAGGAGTAACTAAGAGTCCGTAATTTCAGTTCCCAGTCCAAAGCCTGCCGGTCGGTCAGTCACAGCTGTTGTGGTGACTCCTGTTGTCTGCTGTCTTTAGTGTGCAGTCCGGGAGCAACCGCCCTGCCCTGGCGGGACTCTCTCGACTGGAAGAGAGTCTGACCGCACTACGGCACAAATTCAGCGCACTGCGCACTGACCACTGCTCTCAGAAGGACCGACTGGACTTGCTGGAAAGTCTGAAAAGCCAGGTACTGATTTACTGAAACATACAGAATCCTACAGCAGGTGAAGTGGAAGGAATTGTTTATCATCATTTCGACCAAAGCTTTCCATTTGACACAGCTGCTGCACAGGCCCAGATACAATGATCTTCACTAACTCACACTACGGCAGTGACAGTAGATGCAAGTTTGTTAGTTTTATCTTTGATGAAATGGACTTTGATTATAAATCAGTCTCCCTGTCTTCTTGTTCCTCTGTCCTCTTTTCCTACTGCCCGTTTACTTGCTCTCCTCCTGTGCCTCTCTCTCCGTGTCACTCAATCATTCTCTCTCTGCTTCTCCTTGCTTTGTCTTTGGCCCCTTTCTCACTGCCTTGCAGATGCGCTCAGAGCTGGCAGAGTATCTGGTGCAGTACCGCTCCAGCCCAAAGGAGGGCGATGTGCCCCTGGTGCTGAGTCCTGAGCTGCAGGAAGAGCTGCAGGATTTGGAGCAGAAGATTCTGGCCAGGCTGGTGCAGGGGGAAGGGCAGGAGTGGGCGTGGCACAGTGTGGACAAGATTTTGGAGAGTGAGGACATCACTGCAGTTACACTGCAGGTTGGTCAGAGTGATTGAGAGTCTGATTGTTTCGGTCCAGATGAGCTCCATCTTGCAAAATAACGTTGAACTGCAAAAATATTAATGATCATTTTTCTTACCTTTGATGGCTCTTCCTAATTCTCCCTCCTTTGCAAATTGAGTTTTAGAAAATATAGAGAATATTTTAAAGCAGAACAGTAAATTGTCCCTCTGTGTTAAAATGTGGGTCTGTTTTCCCCACTTGTCTGTTTCTATTTCTTCATATGTTTAAGGATTGGTTGTCTCCTCTCTCTGTGCTTGTGCCTCATGAACTGCAGTGCTTATCTCTCTGACCCAGGATGTCCATGCAATCACTGAAAGAGCGCTCAAGGAATTCAGAGCCGACAACATTGGATTGGCGGATTATGCTCTCGAATCTGCAGGTAACAAGAATTCAGCAAATTAAGTTCCTGTTAATTAGCACTTCCAAAAGCTAGTGTGGGGAGGACAGAAATAAAATCAGCTTGAGCTCCTGGGTATGTGCTTTCAGTCTGATTGGCACTCTTATGCCTGCAGCTTCTTTTTCTTTGATTTGCTGTCACCAAGTCCCCAGATACCTGGAAGAAACTCCATGTCTCCATGTCTTCAAGCATGCCTCACACTGTGCTGGGTACTGCTGTCTTTATCCCAGGTGGCAGTATCATAAGCACTCCTGGAACCGAGACGTATGAGGCCAAGGTGTCAGTATTCAGCCTGTTTGGTGTTACCATCTGGTTAAACACCCAGACTCCCCGGTCCCTCATACAGGTGAGGCTGTAAAACTAGGGGGCACCTCTGCTCCTGGGGACCCACAATCCAAAAGCTTTCCTAGAGCACATTAGTGTTAAACAAAATTGAAAGCCCTGCAGATTTCCAGGACTGGATTGGGCTGTACCTGTAGTTTCGAGAATACTCCTTTGTACTGGGGTTGTATTCTGCAGTTGAGCAGGCTTTTGCTGAAATTGTCCTGGAGCTGAAATTTAAAGTGTCGCTTACACTGTTAATACCTTTGAACTGTCTGTCCCCTCGATCCCCCTTTTCCTCCCTCAGCCAGACGTCTATCCTGGGAAGTGCTGGGCTTTCCGGGGCTCTCAGGGATCTGTGATTATCCAGCTGATTGTGCCGATCCAGCCCACAGCTTTCACAATAGAGCATGTCCCAAAATCTGTGTCCCCACTGGGCCAGACTGACAGCGCTCCTCAAGACTTCACTGTATACGTGAGTAACAGTATTGTGTGACAGTGGAACTTCTCTTCATTTTCTAACCACATTTAACAGTTCAGGGTGGAGGGGGAGCTGGAGTTTATCCCAGCAAGCACCAGGCACATGGCAGGGTACACCCAGGATGGGATGTAGGTCACACACACACACTCACACCAGGGCCAATGTTTCCCAGAAGTCAATTCACCTGCCAATATGTCTTTGGACCATTGGGAGAAACTCGAGCACCCAGAGGAAACATATGAGGAGAACATACAAACTCCACACAGATAGTATCCCAGGAATTGAACCCAGGGCCCCAGCTCTGCGAGGCAGCAATGTGCCAATGAAATATAATATAAAACCCTGTACCTCACATTATAACACAATAACAGACTCTCTAACAAAACTAAAGGAGATAGTGTTGGCCGGTGGTCAGAGCTAAGAGACTTGTGGAAAGGCAAAAGAAGTTACTTCTTGTACACACTACTTGTGGAGAGGGTGATTCGTGTGTGAAGGGATTTTCTCTCTCCACAGGGAATGAATGATGAAACGGAAGATGGGACTCTACTGGGAACCTTCACCTACAATAAACACGGCAGTCCCATCCAAACATTCACCATCTCGGTAAGACAGGAACCACACTAGGACACCCTTCAAACTGTGAGAGGTGCACATACTATACAGTGATAAAAGAACAACATCTTCACAAGAAACTGCTGATGCTTCAGCACGTGATGTTGTAGTGGCTGGTGTGCTTTGAAACACAGCCTTATCCTGTGATATAAGTAGTGATATAAGTCCCCCATTCCAGTGCAATGGGGGACTCTGATCTGACCAGCTCTTTTCTCAGTAGATCAACCCCGCTCCCCAGCATCACGTACATCATGAAGGACTTGTTAGAGCTCGGGCTCACAGTGGAGTGCAAGAGAAGCACCAAGGCTGCCTATTTTTAATCAGCATGTATGAGTCGCTAAAAGCCAGTGAGATGAAGAGCATGTCCCCCTAATGTGTTCTCTCAGACACAGATGACTGTGGGAATCAGTTAGCTCTGTGTTACAGGATTGCTGACCACTGCTAATCTCTCTCCCCTTGGCTATAGGAACCTGTGGCTGGGACATTCAAGCTGGTGAAGCTGGACATTTTCAGCAACTGGGGACACCCAGACTACACGTGTGTGTATCGCTTCCGGGTGCATGGAGAACTTCCCATAACTGCCACAGCCAGGGAGGGGGGGGTGAACACACTGGAGGCAAAACTGATTTTTTCCTCGCAAGACATTAAATAAATCCTGTTTTTTTAAAAAACAACTAATCTGGAGAGTGGCTGTGTTTTCTCTCTAGGTGCGTGTCGTGTATCCCAGGTTGGAAGTGATCATAATTTTATTTTCCTGCTCGTTCTTGTTGGTGTTTTGGCAGTTCAGCCAGTGGCTCGCTCTTCCTGCAGAGGCGATCTGGAGAGTCATGGTGACACAGCCCCCCAGGTGGGACCAGTTCCATCTCTCCTTCGTTATTCCTCTTAAGTTGCTAGTACATGTTCCAGTGGTTCAGAGTCTTGTATTTGTAACATGACTATTAATATTTAACTAGGGTCACATTACCCTAGCTGCCAACTCCTCAAATTTTCCAAATGCCAACATGGTTTTGGGGGTGTGAAAATGCAAATGACATCTTTCAGGCGTGACATTACTCTAAATGATGCTCTCCTCTAGGGGACTTCTAGGGGTTCCTAGGTAAGATGGCGGAGCTCTGTCTACTTCCCACAATTGGTTTTTCTGAACAAAACATAGGTGATATTTGTAGTTATTAATAGGAAAATGTGGAGCACACATCTACCACAGATATATTTCCAGCCCCTGTATCTGTTCTTGTCCCAGCTCTGCTTATTCAGTTTCATTCTGAGAGTCACACACTCCAGCCCCAAGCAGTTTAACACTTGAGGCTCTCCCAAGTTGACAGTGCCTTAAAAAGCCCTTCTTACTGCATCTCCTTGAGAGTTCGAAGGACTTTTTCCTTCAATCATAAAGGAGAAATTACACCACATTCTTTATTAGGGCTGCTGCACTGTTCTTCCTTCTAATCTGGACAAAATCCACAGTGAGCAAAGATCAAGTCTCAACGTCTCCAGCACTGGTTTCGGAGCTAAACCAGAGGGCTAAAAACATGTCTAAGAAAATATTTACTTCCCTCACGCTGGTATTGACCAAAATGGATGTTCTTTTTATCGAGTTTGGGGAACAACATGTTGGAGACTACAGTGACCAGATGGAATTAAAATCAAATACACAAACAAGAAATTAAAAAAATACAAGCAGTTAGAATTTCAAATGTTCTGAGGACTAGCATGTACAGTATAGGCATAAGATATGTACAGCTCACAGCATTTCTTTTTATCAGAGACACAAGAAGAAAAATTAACCATGAAACATCACTTTCTTCTGACCTGCAGTGCTCAGGGCCACTCCTCCACTCCTCTTTAATTCAATGAGCTTTTTTACTTCGATTTCCAGCTTAGCTGGGGATCAGAGACAAAACCCCAGTGTCACAAACAGTTCTTTCCGGGCCCTATGCGGACGACACGATCCGGAAGGTGAAGGAACAATAGGGGAAAATATCATGCAGGAGTGGGCCAGGACACAGGGGGGCGTGTCCGAGGTGAGCAGGTGTCCAGGGGAAGTGAGCCTGGGGCGAACAATCCAAGCATAAATCCAAAAGGGAAATCCAATACGGGAGGCAGAGTCCAAGACCAGGGGATCCGTCCAAAGTAATTAAAAACCAGAACCGGGTCGGGACCGGCGGGGCAGGGAATCAGGAACAGGAAACTAAAACCATAACGGAGCCAGACGCAGCAGGACCCCGGGATCTCAGGAAACGGGATTCAATGAGAAGCCTCGGGCAAATGCCTGCATCTGGCTTTAAAGGTGGAACTAAAGAGGGGCTGGAATAAGGAACAGGTGTGGGTAATGCGACAGAACGAGGAAGGGCTGGAGCGCCCTTAAGAGGAGGAGTAACGAACGTGACAACCAGTGGAATTAAAATCTGCTTATAATAAACATAAAGGTGATTATTAATAAACTATGTAAAACACTGAACAAAGTTAACATTTGCAGACCAAGAGCGGCAACGTGGCCATCATGTTGACCTGCCTTTATTTTCAATTCTCACTTCTGCCCCGGATCTGTGTGCAGTGGGGCTGAAGTGTGTCACACAGGTGGGGCTGCGCTCCAGTGGAGGGTGAAGTGACTCCACTCCTATACATGAAGCACTGTGTGACCCTTGAGGATTAAAGGTGCTATGCAAACACAATTAAATCCCTTGTTACATGATCAAGATGTCTGCATTATATAGCCTGTTAATAGAGATAAATGATCACTATTGACAGAATGGGTAGTTTTACAGTTTGGTTTTAGTAACCAAAGCTGTGTCAGTACAGATTGAAGTCTCTAGTCTGTGTAATATACAGTATATATGCATATTCTGGATTTCAGAATGTGATACATTAATTTACACACTTCCAGCTTGACTGGAGAGTCATTTAATGAACCAGAGGAGACACAAGTGGAAAGTATAGAGAAGCGCATTTAAAACTGAACGTTCTTTACACAAAGTGTTGTTGATGTCTAGGACAAGCAACTGATACTCTGGCTCAGATAACTTATCTGCTAGAAAGTTGAAAGAAGTTCAATTGGCCAAAAGGCCTCCTCTTGTATCTTTTGTTCTTCTGCAACACTGTACGTGTTACCCTTATCCAGTGTTGATGTTGTAATGTAAATATTTGTCATATGAAAACATAGCTCAAACAGAATCTCCATAATTGGCATCAACCAAAACATGTATTTTTTTATTTTTAGTTCTAAAGTGGGAAAATCGTGTCCTGCAAAATCCTATTAAATCATGTTTACTTACCTTGCACACAGCCAATGTCCAAGCATTTATTTCCACTAAATTCTTTGCTAGGGAAAAACATAATATTTACATTTAACAGACAATTTTTACTTTTCAGAGTTTGCGGAAAAACACAAATATTTGTTTTTTCGACCGAGACCCGTTTGTACTGTATTTGCGTATTGATGGGTGCTGGCAGTTCTCTAGAAAGTATCTGAAACTGCTCCTGTTTTTCATGGCCTTGAGCTGTGGGACAGGCTTTCTGACATAACTGAGCTGCAGGTTCATGGATCAACAGCACTTCCTCTGGGAAATAAATGATCTTGGACTGCAGTTCAAGTAATTTGTTTTGTTTTTGTAAAGGTAACTTGGAGAACATTTAGATGCTGTTTATTTTGGTATCTCACATGTACATATTGTCTGTCAGTGCTTTGCTCCTGTTATACAATGCTGTTATACTGTGTGGAATGAAATAGGTTTGTTAAATGACTGCTGTACACATTTTGTAATGTATTTTATGTATAGATGTGTTATTAAGTATAATACATTAGTTCAAGTAGGTGGCTGCGTCTGCTGCTCAGGTGTGAAGGCTCCACAGCCGAAACGTTGTGTTTCTTTTCTTCTCTTTTCAGCATGGAATAAACCTTTACTTTTTCTAATACATTATTTAGATTGCAAAAAGTCTGCAACTAACAAGCCATTTCTTTATCCTTTTTGCAGTAACCATTTCTTCTTTAAATATTTTGCTATTGCTCAGGGCATACGTGAAGTACGTGAAGATCAGCCTTAATGTCTGGTAGCCTTGAACACGTTCTACAGATTTGCTGGAGACAAAAACAGTGCAAACATTGCAGAATGGATGTCATGTCCCAATAATTTGAAAGGAACCTCACTGCAGCCCAGTAATGTAATAATAATAATAATAAATAATAATAATAATAATAATAATAATAATTGCTTACACTTATATAGCGCTTTTCTGGACACTCCACTCAAAGCGCTTACAGGTAATGGGGTCTCCCCTCCACCACCACCACAATGTAACCCTGATTTCCTACGTGAGAATGAAGGGTTAATGTGCTTTTTAAACAGCTGTTAATTCTTAAGTACTTCACACAAGCACATCTGGTCTGGCTGAGGCACATTTGCAGGTTGGCAATTTTAGCCATTTGCTGTGGCTGTAAACCAATAAGAATGCAGGCTTAATTCCAACTCCATCAAATTAATCCCAGTCACCCAGGAATTCAGATGACAGGCTCCTATCGCCAACTAGGAGCATTCTTACCTGCTTGTATGCTGATAAAACAACAGCCCCACACAACTTAAAAATGCGTTATCGCCCTGTGTGCTGATTTAGGGGAAGCATGTGTTTTGTTAATGTTATGTTGAGGTTTTGTGAAATTTGAGCGACAGCAGGCCTGCTTATTGTAAATCAGGCATACCCAGTGCACACAATGCCTTCTGTATGAGCACATAACAGCTACTGCAGGCCCTCTGTTAACAGTATTTATTATCCTGTGTGAAATATTTAGAGACACTAAACCCTCACCTCTTTATAACTTGCATTTTTCTGAAAGATGCTATATTTAAATAGAGATGGTTAAGAGCTCTTCTGAGTGCACAAGCTTACAGTAAATAAAACATTCAATTAAGCATATTGAGTAATACCATTTCTTTCACCACTGGAAAGCCCTTTGAGACCAGTAGTATATGTAACTGAGTAAACACACCAAAGTGTAGGAACAAGAATTTATCTAGAAATATGCCAATCAAAACTTGCTCAAATATTAAAAATAATCTTAAGAGAATATCAAATCAATATGATAGAGATATTGGTGATTTTTTTAAACTATTATTCTTGCCCTGCTAATTGGCAGTACTAAAAAGCTGAACAAAATGTTGCTTTTTACATTGAAGACTAATTACCATCAAACTCCAAACCACATTCTCTTATAAAAGCAGTTCCAGCTTGTGATCTCACAAGTCAACATCAAATTGCAAGGAACTAAGCTGTTTGAATTCTTGACTCGTCTTTTACAAAAAAACAACAACTTTAAAATGGATTTGATCTCCTGGAGCTTTTATTTTGATGGTTTGTTTTCAGTGTTTAATAAATCTATTAACTTTGGACAGAAAGAATAATACTCAGAGTATATCGCACTTCATATGCATCCAGCGGAGTATTTAATGGTTATTTTTTTCATGTTACCGCTTAAAAAAAACTCACCTGCACTGATGCTGGAAGTTCATGTCCTGTGTGTCTGAAACAGTTACTGGTGTGTTATTGTCAGCACCAGTAAAGAGCAGATAGCACCAATATTCTTAACTTAAGGGTTAAACTATGTGTTTTGCCCTGCAAATCAGCAGTACTAAAAAAGCTGAAGAAAATGTTGCTTTTTACATCAAATATCAAACTGCAAAGCACATTCTCAAGACGTTCCAGCTTGTGATCTCTGTGCTAATTTCTTGTCTTGTTAGTCCCCACTGCGAAATCGTGGTGTAGAGGGTCTGATATCCCTGCTGAATGAAGGGGGCTAAAAGACAAATCCCAGGGTTGCAGGACGGCTCAGCTGATAAAGGAGCATCTCGAACCCAGGTGCTGGTTCAAGTCTGGGTCAGGTCAGCTGCTCAGGTCAGGACGCCCCAAGCAGTGGCGCTCCACTGTCTGGATAAGCCAGCTGAAGCTCAGGGGTCATCGCAGGCTCAGAGACGCCACTCCTTCAATCCACACTGACCCTACGGGATGTGTATTCTGAGAAACACATGCCCACACAAAGCTCCCGACAAGTCGACATCAAATTCCAAGGAACTCAGCTGTTTGAATTCTTTACTCGTCCAGGACTTGATCTTCTTGACGGAAAAAAAATGAAGTACACCACAGAAATCAAATCACTTTCACATTCACCATCATTCATTCGTGGAGAGTATTCACATTACCATTTAATTTGTGAATTTTAAGAGTGCTCTCCATAAAATGTGCACAATATGCAAATATACAGGTAGTGGACAGACCACTGTAATAGGGCATTTAACCTACTGTATTGTCTTTATTACCAGTGAAAGAGTCTGCCAGTGTCTGGAATTTCACATGACAGACAGTATCACGGTTTAATGAGAATGTTAATTAGCTCACATCTGGGTGATAGAGGTGGAAAATGCAGTTTTGTGAGTTGATCCACAACCACCAATTAATGTTTGATAGGGTTATGAAGGCCATGAAGCGTGGTTAGTGTCATCACTAACATCAGTGTCAGGCTCATCAAACACTGGGAAGCATCACATGTTTTGTGGATAAGGGCATTATCCACAAAAGGTCACCCTAGAATATACCCTTCCCAACAAGAACAAGATCCTGGAATATAAGATCTCCAATGGTGATGATCAGCCCTCTTAAGAGAATGGGGGCATCCAAACCATGCCAGGAAAAGGCACAACCATAACATGACAGAACTAGCAGAACCCTTCACTACTGGAACCGAGCACTCAGGACTGTAGAGTTATTTGGTCCGTGTGTGGAGAGTATGGTGAAGGAAGATTCATCCAACCGCGTCACATTTCCTCACCACTTAGTAGTCCATTGGCTGTGCTGTTTGGAAACTTGAACCTGCTCTGTGGAGCTCTCGGTGACTATACGTGATGAAACTGGTTGCTCATGCCCCCGGTTAAAAATTGCCGTTAAGAGATGCTCACCTCTTTTGCCTTGAACTTTAAATGAGTGCACGGAGATTATGGATTAAGCCTTAATCTCGCTGCCCCTCTTTCCCCCAGAGTTCCATGCTGACACCTAAGACACTACTAATTACACAGCTGCAGGTTGAACTGTCCTGGTCATGGATTAGACTACCACAGGTGCCCCAACAATCACCCCTCTGTTAAACTGACAGGTCTCCTCTTACAGGCCAGCCAGCCAACCAGGGCTGTCCCACATCTTCATACATGACCTAAGCATGCTGGCATGCTCAGCATCCTTAATTAACACATCAGCCATGCTGGTGTGGAAGCCCTTACTTTCAATATATTTGGTGTCCCTCATGTTTTTATTTTTGTACACTGTACTATGCTAGCATTCAGTATTTAACTGTATAAGTCAATTGAGAATTTTTTGTTTACATTAATTTGTACAACAGTGCATTTAACTGAATCGAAGTGAAGCACCTTCCTCAAGGGTGGTTAATTGTTCACAAGTTTTATAGCATACCTAACACATTTTAAGTTGGACTAGCAGTTTCTGAAGAGTCACTAAGTGTATTAGCCCCTGGAAAGCATGTACCTTCACTGCAGCCATGTACCCGAAAGGTCTGAAAGCAACAGTCACAATGGCTCTTGAAAGTCTTGCAGAGTCAAAAGGGATTTTTGTCCTCCTGGGACCAGAAGGATATAAAATGAATCTTTACAAGAACAGGAGTCTTCCAAACTTGGACACTGAAATAAAACATCTGCTTATAACAAAGTTTAAACACTCCAGGACTTGCATGATTGATTTATTGGAGAAACACTCAATACAAAGGGTCTTTTTCATTCTTGATTAGTCAAGTACTGGTAAGAGGATGCATTTACCTGTATTCACCTCTAGCTTGTAGCAGAACAGGTATAGCTGCCCAGATCCCCATTTAACCCTGATGCTAGACATAGCAAAGTAACACTTTTATATTATTGTCTTACATTCAGAGCTTCATCTGTAGCTGGATGCTTTTAAAGGGGATTTAACAATCTGCATGCTGAAGATCAATCGAGATGCACAAATTCAAATTGATCTGCATCCCTTCTTGTAACTCCACTTGTCCAAAGAACTCACATGTAAAGTTTTACATTAATCTGCAAATTTTCTGTTCAGAACTCTGAGCTCGGTATTGTGTCAGTTAAAATCATTACTTCTTTGAATGGAAAGAAGGTGGCAAAACAGAACCTGTGGCTCCCTGCAACCGGATGTCTGCAAAAGGTCATCAGCAGTGCTAGCTTTTTCAAACTTTTTCCAAAGTTTAAAATGACCAACTACTTCACTCGTTAAGTAATGTTAAACCCACACTGGATCAATACCAATGCAGTCACAATGAAAGAGGTTCTATCGATTTACTGCAGCAAATGTTGAAAGGACAAGCCTGTTTTGTGGAGAGCACTGCTATGTTAGAAATCAGGATACTTTAGGAGCTTGGCTTATTGTGTATCTTCCAGAATGAAAATCAATATTCCAAAAAGAAAAAAAAAACAAAGAAGGTAGTAAAGGCAATTAAAGTATGTTTAATATTTTTGAAAAGAATGCATATACAAAGAACTGAGACATCAGACAAAGCATTTGGTTCAACACCAAAAGGTTATAAGATCTAGTTGGTGAAAGGTGAAACGTTCCTTTATAAAATGAAAAACAACAAAAAAGGTTTTGATAAAAATACATAACACTGGTGTCTACAACAGCAACTTTACCAGCTTACATTATCAGTATTAATATTCATCTAACCAGAGGAACCAGACTTTGCTCACATTTACTTCAACAAGTTCTGGCCAACGCCTAATTGGTCCCGGGCACCACATTAGAATACCAGAATACCACAATACTGTAAAGTTACCTGCCTTTCAGACCGTTTCTGATTCTCCCTCCCTTGCCCCCTTAAATACTCCTCTAAAGAAAGGTTTTGTTAACGCTGCAAACTAATGTGAGTTTCACAGAACAAAAAAAAACACATAAAATTATACATCTGGCATAAAAATCTCCATGCACTTCATTAAATTCCTATTATACAGTAAGTAAACTACAGAGCTGCTAAGACTGTAGTCTGCGTGGTGACTAGGGCACGTTTTCTAATCCGGACGTGCACACAGGGCCACTCGTGCAGACCGCTGCTTTGTTTCGGAAGGGGGACGAATTAAGGCTCATCTCCCACTGCTCAACAATAAAGAAAGCCAAGCTCCTGCTAAAGGAATCTCTAGACACTCTCTGAGCTTGACGCTGGAACTGTAATGAAAAGTGGCTTAGTCAGCAAATCATGGTCATACGATGCTTTGCCTATGAACTTCTATTTTAAACCGTCACCCGTCACGGTTTTAAATGGAAAAAGAAAAATCTACATAACCCTGTTTTTGGTTATTCCAATGTGGCACTCAGGATTGCAATTAAGATCTCCCCCCAACCCAATTTACTGAAATGTTACAAATTGATAAATCACAGCAGTGGCTCTATAAAATAAAATAAGATCCTGACAGTACAAATCATTAAAAACGTCAACTACTACATTGTTAGATTAAAGGGAATGTGGTCACAAAAAAGGTATGCTTCATTTTTTTTCAGCCCATGCCGAATGCAGGGGGATTTCTTTAATTCTCTATTGCAGAAAAAAATCTGAATCTTGTATTTGTTTTTTCAAACATTGCTTTAGAGTACAAAGCTGACGAGCAGCTCTTAGCGGAGGAAGGAAGGGGAGAGGCAGGGTGCTCATAGCAGCTTACACTTGCGTTTCTTCTTGGGCTCTGGTGGCTCCAGGGCAGCCAAAATTGCTTCGTCAAATACATTCTTTAGTCCTTTCTGAAAACAGAGAGAGTGGGAGACGAGGTCGGGCCTCATTTCATTGCTCGGAAAACACAGATTAAAACAAGAGAACAAGGAAGAGAGGGCACAAATCATGATAAAAACAAGCATTTCCTAGAAAATGGCTTCTATATCTTTAGCTGAAAGGGCACTAAATCTGACAACCTGGGAGTGGATGCAAGTGGGTCCATTTGTATCCCTGGGAGAGATCAATTTAGAGAAGCTCCTTGCACTTTCCACTTTGGGTGGTCAGAGGTACAGTTTAGGATATCCATATAAAAACTCAATCCATATAGATATAGAGAGGTTGGCTCTCAAATTGTTCTATGAACACTACTAGATAGCATTAATAAAGCATTTAGAAATGTCTTTCTCCATTCTAAAGTAGTACCTAAAATAAATTGCACCATGCGGAGATTTGTTTTAAATTGTGTAAATGTTTAGTTGGTTTAATATTTTGATTTTCCATCTCTTTCCCTGGAAAGTTACATTTGTTCAATTAGTTCAGTAATCGCCTAAAACAGTGGACCAACTCCCTGTAGCTTTAAAGCTCAGCAGAGTAGCAATTCCTGATTTAACCAAATCTATTAACTTTCTAAACTGCTCAACACTCACACAGGCTTCAAGTCAATTGTAAAGGGTGACAGAAGACCTAATGGGTAGTGGCTCTTCAGGACCAGGATTGTCCACTTCTGCTCTATATATCAGGTTTAACATTTTACACACTTGGGTCATGTGAAACTTCTACAAGTGTGGAACTTTGATAGATTCTCTGTATAAAACCTCAACAGGATTTGACAGGCTTTCCAGCACTTTCAACCCATTAACGTCAGGCGTGCCTTTAGCCATATTTATAGCTTATGTTGAACAGCAGGAACAACCCCAATTGCAAATGCAAAACTGAAAACAAGCCAGTCATTTACACAGTACCGTGTGAATATCACTAAATACATAAAGGCACAGATGTACAGACATTGTGCTGATAAGAGTCTTGACATAACTGGTCAATTATTTTGACAAAACCTACAATGGGGAAAAAAATGTTTAGTCAACATGCTTTTGACAAGTGGGAAAGTTTGCTGGCGAAGAAAAAAAAACCCACATTCAATGGGAGGAAATGCATGCCAAAAAATGAAAACTCAAGACAGGAATGTGACCACTGAAAACGAGACGGTTAACAAGAAAGTGGAGGTGTGGAGCACAGGTAGACACGGATTGCTCAGGACTCAAACAATTGGGGCCTAGGTGAGGGGTGAGGGGCTGCAATACACAAAGCCTGGCTTTAGACAGAAAGAAAAGAAAACGGGACTCCCTGCTTACTCCGAATTGCAGGCTTTGAGCCTCATCCCCCTTGATGCACATACCTCAGTTTTTACAGATATTTCAATCTTCGCTTGCCGTCAGTATTTGATTACCTTCACACATGATTTCACGGTAAGTCACACTGCCTCCCTGCCTGAGGGAGTGCAGTATCAATCTGTCAATCACAGACCCCAGTCCTTGTGTTTAAACAGGTAACAGGGAGCTTACAGTTATTACTGGCTTTGTTCTCGGTGCAGGATCAACTGACAACCAGGCAAATATACCAACTAAGCAAAAATCCACAATTCAGTTTTGTAGGGGCTTAGAAATCTGCTCATTAGCAATAGGAAGTTCATACAGATTATAAGACCTGTGATGGAAAAACAATCGATTCACCTGACAGCACAGACCAGAGAGGTCATCCAACCTAGTTTTCAATTCAGATTTTATTATGCCCGTTTTATAGGCTGAAACACAGTCTGTAATCACATGATTTAACCATAAACCTACAAGGAAATCAAAGCATAATCTCTCCCTAGGCAATAAAATGATGTTTTAGGTAGGAGGAATAAACAATTTTCACATTGCTCTAAAGATAACACTATAATCCATAGCTCTATTGTAACAGTCCAAACTGGTGCAACAGTATGTTTTCTGGAGTTCTGCTGAAATACTGCAGGAAAGTAAGAGATAGACAAGAAGAGGGTGACAATTTCAGTTTCCTTTATTCAGTTCACACATCATTTCACAAGAGTATACTGGGTTTGCATTCAAGATCTCATGTTGACACCAACATCTTCCTCCTATGGCAAACTACAGCCATGGTGTACCATGTATAGAATTAATATTCTATCATACATTTGTAGTAGTACAAAAAAATAATACATTGACATAAGGAATGGAAAATATCTTAAAATCAGTATTAATTCACAATGCATTCAGCTGTAGATAAAGAAAAAACAGCTTCTCTTGAATCCTATCAAAAAAACACCAACCACTGAGAACACCATATAAACCATTTCTTTTCCTTAAAAAGAAAGTAAAAACTGACTCCAAGAACTATTTCAACATCTTTATCGCAAATGCCTATAAAGTGCTGATGTAGAGAAGGCGATTTTCAATGGAGGAATACATGTTAACATCCTCTTACTGGAGGTTATTCAAGAATGTGTTATTAGTCCTTAGAGTAAGGCAAAAGAAAAAAATAGCACAATTTACAGTAAAGCAAGATTCCCTCCGAGGCTAGGAAACCAGTCACAATTTTAAAAAGGGGGGGGTAGCGGAGTTTATTGGATGTAGAGACATCTTTACAGAAGAGGTGGAAGGAAAAAAGGAAGCAGCAAACAATGGGGAAAAAAGACTTTTAGAATATACAGCACTTCCGTTTTCGCTGAGTTTCAGGTGGTTCGAGGGCAGCTAGGATAGCTTCGTCAAATACATTCTTCAGACCTCTCTACAAAGACAGAGGGGAAGGGGGAGAGAACAGCATCAAGGTTAGCAGTCACAGCAAACAGGTTAGAGAGCAAGCACAACAAGGAGTCCTTCTGTGCGTCTCGAGGACCTGGCACAGCGGCCGGACAGGAAAAGACGCTAAGCTTGGCAATGATAGCGCTGAAAGAGAGGAACAGTATGAGAGAACAAAGCTCCGATACAAGTACCCAAAGGCTGCCAGCATCTGAAAGCATGTTAGAAAGTTTGGCACTCCTCAACTCCCATCCTCAAGCTAAATGGTCTACTGCTCTTTAGGCAAAAACAGAAGTATAATTGGAACCAAATATTCACCTCACTGAACCAGTTTTACTCATTTCTCAGGTAAGGAAGGCAAAGCTTGGCCATCAAGGACAAGGCATTTGCTGGAGGTTTTTCCCGAACTAGAGATGCAAATGAATAAAGTCAGACCATGAAATGGTCGTTTTAATGCACCACCACAAAAATAAGACCTCCATACTCTTCACTGGTTTTCATAACCCATGCGGCTTTTGCAAAATACTAGAGGTAGCACAACTATTAAATGATTTATACACAAATGATGCTTAAAGTTTCCCTATCAAGAGCTACAGTATCTTTACTGACTAGTCAACATGCAAAGCTACAAAGGTGTTTTCCAAAGCAGAAAAAACTCAAAACCGTACTGGTAGAAGAAACTTAACCTTTGATTTTCAGCAGTGATGCCATAGAATATCATCATGGATACATTTATTGTTCAAAACTGTGCCTTTTGAAAAACTAATTTGCAAAAGGAACGCAGGGTACGAAAACAAGTGTATGCAGCTTCAAATGTAGTCTCACCTGTTGAGAACCACTTGCTGTTGCAGGCTGGACAACCCCAGACATTAGAATATAGGTTTCTCAAGAGACAGAAGTGGAACAAAGTCCATCCTATTACCCATGACACCACAGAACAGAATGCAGAGTACAAGTATAGATCCATTCTTCTAGGATCAAAAATGTATCCTGTAGGTCCTTGGTGTGTCCTTGTAAGAGAAATACATTTTTATGCTAGCTGAGGACAGACAGCTGCCTCAAAGATTCGCACTGGCGTACCAATTTGTATGACAGTGCATTAAACACAGCTTAAGGTTAAAATGTCATTAGAATGGGAGCAAAACGAGACGAGTATGTTTCTTAAGCAGTTACAACATGGTGATGCTCCCCATCATGAACCACTAAAAACTGAATGAGCATTATGGCCAAACAGCCTCATCACATTTGGAAACTATGTTCTTAGGCACAATTGTTTTTTCAACCTGCTTTCTTAATAGGACAGAAAGCAGAACTCCTCAGTTGAAAATATTTTGCTAGTACTTAAACTCAGTCCTCACAGTTTGAAGATTAATTTTAATTGACTATCTTGGATATTAACTTGTCCATCTGTTAACATTTTAAGAGCTTTGAGTATATTAAAATAAAGGTTAATTGCCAGACTACACTTGGCTGCTAAAAGAAATGTCATATTACATAGAATGAATGGAAAACACTGCCATTGGTACAGTTGCGGAATGCCGCTTACATCTAGGAGGGATTTTACACAAAATGCAGTTTAGTAGCACACTTTATGAAGCAGAACCAGGAAATTAAATTATCCCGTTGGGATATACGTTCTGGCCCTTAACGTATAGGAACTCCAAGAAAGGAGACATCCACACACCTGTTAGGCCATTAACAGGGCATGCTGAAGAACTGTGACCTGTTCATTTCACATGTTTATTAATCACAGAGATAATAACTACTTCTACAGTCTTCTCTCCTTTAATGTGTGACAAAATAGCCTGGTGATGCTGCTAGGTTTTATGGTCTTGTCTAAGATATCCATGTTTAAATGGACCATCTTATACCCTTAAACTACAAACTCCAATGTACAAAAGGTGCACATCAGTAGAGTAACTTTTCTACTAAAATTCAGTTTTATGCAGTGAGATACATAAGCTTTTAGCTGGATCCATTATCATATTTTAGGCCAAGAGATCAGCAACTGGATTTAGAGAAGGAAAAATTATGGAAATTAACAAGTGTCCATAAAATATTTAGATTTCTTGACTGCACAATGTCACAGTGCAGTAACCAATCCCAAACATGGCTGAAGAACATGCTACCAAAGAGTTTGTAAGCAGGTTTCAGAGGACAGTTGTGTCCTTACAAGGAGTGATGACCTTTGATTAATCCTGATACTATGGAAGCAACAACATCTGACAAATCTGTTGTACTTTGCACAAGAGCTTTTGGTAGCAATGCATTTAAAGGTCTGAAAAGCAGATCATACATATATATGCAGCCATGCACTCTGAGGTCACAGAGTTACTAGGCAGGCTCTCTATTTCAAATACTGGCTGCAGCTACTGATTCACTGCATGTCACACCTGAGTAAGAGGTAAATGAGAAAAACTATAAGCCTATTCTAAGTAACTTTGTAGGACTGACGTCAAGCCCCCTAGTGTCAATACATCCCTCTGGAGAAATAATGCAATAAAAATCATTATGCATTTAAACACTCATACTTCATCTGCCCACTGATCGCTTAGCAGAAGGTTCCCACTGTTTAAAACAGAAGGCTAACAGAAGGTTAGCTTGTAGGGACTGTGTAAAATATGGGAGAAATGACGACGATTGAGGGCCGAGGCCTAGGAGGATAAAAACATGAAATCATCACCACATTCAATTAACTCTTGCTTGTAAAAAGAAACACTGCCATATGCAAAAAATACTGTCAGTGTCAGCAATTCTGCAATAGGTTCCTACCTCAGCAGTCACTCTGACTCTACAGAATATACTAATTTCCCCTATGTTCAGTGGATTTTGCTCACGTTTTGAAAACAAATTAGGAGTAAACATTTCTTTAAAATGGGGCAGGTAAAACTTAAACAGCATCATACTATCAACTTTCCAAAACAGATCTACATATTCGGACTCACTTTCAACAGCACAATAAATGTCTTCTATTAGAATTGCTTTTTTGCCTTTAAATATCATTAAAGGAATAAAAACTCCCAATACTTCCCAATGCTTTAGTTCCAGTCCAACACAAACACAATAGCAGCATGGTGGCACAGTGGTTAGCATTGGTGCCTCGCAGTGCTGGGGCCCTGGGTTCAGCCCCTGGGGTGCTGTCTGTGGGGAGTTAGTATGTTCTCCCTGCATTTACATGGCTTTCTTCAGCATACTCTGATTTCCTCCCACAGTCCAAAAACACATTTCAGTCTGACCTGTATATTTCAATTGTTTGATACAAAAATCTATTAGGTGAATTTATGCAATGTTTAAGCTTCTCCCAGGAAATATAAAGCAACAAATTAAATCTAACCCTGCACTGGCTTAATAAATTGAGGGAAAAAAAGGAATAGGTGGAATAGGCAGATTGGGGAAAAAACAGCACAACTGTTTAAATCACCTGTAAAATTCCAACTACCAAATCCAGACACACAGAGCCATAGTTCAGAACCTCATCTACTAATGACAGTACAGTCTATATAGCAAGGTATGACTTTAGCATGCAAAGTTGCATACAAGAACACTGGCAGGAATCTAGCTGGGAACATAAGTGAAATTTAACCACTGCATTCCAAATGACAAAAAGCCATTTATGCCCGTGTCTCTGTGCAAACAAACAAGGTCATGCCTCCACTTTCTTGTTTTTACATTTTTTCCACGTTTCATGTATTAAAAAGTCACAATATGAAGCATTCCATTGGCAACAATTATTTTCCCCTCAGTGCTGAAATAAAAACACTCCAACTTACCTTGGGCAGTCACAGAAATTGTACAGAATGCAAAGAAAACTCTTTTCAGTAGTGAAAAGCAATGTAGTCCTTTAACAAATATAACCCAAGTTCCACCACATAAGCAAACAATATATAATAATGGTAACATTTGCATGCTTGAATACTTCCATTGATTTTGTTAGGCAACAATTAAGTTAGTGTATTATACACGACTGCTAAATGAATTTTAATTGTGTAGGTTAAGCTATTACATCATTTATCTTTGCACTAAAGGTAGCAAAGTCTGAGGCTCCAAATACTTCAGTTCCACTGGCTTCATGAGACTCCCCTGCTTACTGCAATGTATTTGATTATATCTTAGTGTAATGGAACTTTGATACATTATAAAACATCAATAGCCTCTTTTCCATTATTCCTTTTTGCACTTATTATTGGCCCCTGGAGCTTATCATTGTCTTTAGTCCCTCTTCTTTATTAGCTCATGTTTAATGCTGAAAATGACAGAAACCAGCACCTTATGGACCCCAAACCTCCCATGACAGAAGGCAAAGTGGCACTGCCATGTCAGGGGGCGGGCTTTGGTATTATTTGATAAAAGTTCGGCTGTGCGTCTTACCTGCGTGAGAGCGGAGCACTCCACGTATTTGACAGCCTTCAGGTCGCGGGCCAGCTTCTCGGCCGTCTCGGGAGTAATGGGCTTCTGTTTGTTCTTGGCAAGCTTCTCGATTGTTGAGGGGTCATCTCGCAAGTCGATCTGTGTCCCCACCAGTAGGAATGGAGTCTTTGGACAGTGGTGAGTGATTTCAGGTACCCACTGCAAACAATGAAGACCTCGTCAAAAACTCCCTTTCTGAAAGGAAACTGAAGGATCCATTTCGACATCCACTCCCAGTCCATTTCACTTCAGCTTGCCATCAAGAGGGCCAAATTCTTAGACTTTTCTACTGTAATATACTGGAATGCCATTAGTAGAAGGAAAATACTAAACTACACTTGATTTTATATCTGCACATAGCAACATACTTGTCACAGAAAGACACAGGTAACTAAGCCATTCAACAAGCATTTTTTTTGCTAAAGGCTAACTTGAAAACACTGGTTTCATGCATTACCTACTGCATTTTTTCTTATGAAAACCCCATGAATAATGAAACTTTCTGAAACCAACTCCCATCATAAATCTAGAAAAACAGTTTTGTTTTTCACACCATTCCCAAAGGCAATACCAACATCACACTTCACTGCGTGGGAAGAGGTGCAGTTTAGTACAGAGGTTGGTCCAGATGAGCCTTATTTTGGCTTTTGAAAACAGAACATGGATATAGATCATATTAAATGCATACTGTAGCCTAGAAGCTCATCAGACTCAGCCTTCTCCCAGAGTCAAAACATTTTTTTTGACAACAGGTTTATCGCCAACAATGCTGGTACTTATTTATAGACTTGGGTGGACTGGAGCAATGTGGGTAAAATAACTACTTTTTCTCAAACCCACAATCCTCCAGGAAGGAGTTCAGAAACTTTTACTACTTTACACCAACTCCCACTTACACACTAAGAAAAGGTCAAAAAGTTCAAGGTGGCAGTCAGTCAGTTTTCTCTATTACAAAATAAGAGAACTCACCTTTTCTTTAACGTTTTCAAATGAAGAAGGTGAAACAACAGAGAAACAGACTAAAAAGACATCGGTCTGAGGGTAGCTCAGTGGTCGTAACCTATCGTAATCTTCCTGACCTGAAAGATAATAAAAAAAGGGTTAAAACTACTTTTGGCTTCTGCCTCGGTGAGCTGCAGAGAGGAACTCCAAGCAAGTGGTTTTCCAGCAAGGGGACTTAATAGCCAGCAGCCATATCATTCTGACCTAACAACTGGCAACTTGGTGAGTACCTGGATGGGAGACCTCCTGGGAAATACTAAGGTTGCTGCTGGAAGAGATGTTATTGGGGCCAGCAGGGGGCGCTCACCCTGCAGTCTGTGTGGGTCCTAACGCCCCAGTATAGTGACAGGCACACTACACTGTAACCAGGTGTTGTCCTTCGAATGAGACGTGAAACTGAGGTCCTGACTCTCTGTGGTCATTAAAAATCCCAGGGCGTTTCTCGAAAAGAGTAGGGGTGTCCTGGCCAAATTTCCCATTGGTCCTTACCAATCATGGCCTCCTAATAATCCCCATCTATGAATTGGCTTCATTACTCTGTTCTCCTCCCCATTAATAGCTGATGTATCTTGAGCATTCTGGCGCACTATAACTGCTGTCGCATCTTCCAGGTGGGGCTGCACATTGGTGAAGGGGATCCCCATTACCTGTAAAGCGCTTTGAGTGGAGTGTCCAGAAAGTGCTATATAAAAGTGTAACCAATTAGAACTACACCCCTCTCACAAGGTTTCCATCGGATGACGAAGGTGCCTGAAAAGGTGTTCCTTCATGGGACAACACTGCTCCTTCAGACAGAGCTCTCGCAGAGGAACATTTCCAGTGAGCACATGAGCACAGCTGTGGTCACTCATGTCTGGTGTCCTGCTGCGGGCCTGAGCCAGGTACAGCTGCAAGCCGGTTTCCACACCTGGTGTCATCTCTTACACCCATGCAGGACAAATAGCTGTGAGTGGGCACCATCTTCACAAAGGATACTCAAGAGCCAGGAAAACAGAACTCAACAGAAAAACTAACCTTGAAACTCAAGAATAATACAAATTGTAAGTTACTGGAAGGGACAGAGGTTTTTATCACTATCTGGTATGGATAGACATAACACTGATTTTTAAATAACCAAAGAAATAATGAGTATACTGCTTTAAAATACAATGAGGTAGTTAGATCCTGAGAAAACATTTCTGAAATGATCACATAATCACAAAAATAAATAAGAGCAGCTGCAGTAACAAAAACCACCCAAAATCTGACTTTTGTTACTGATGATAATTTTCACCCAAGAACAAAACATGCATAAGAACATGTATTGGTGCACTGACTGTTTTTTCATTAAGGGATTATGCTGTAATGTTGTTAAGACAATGACAGATTTTAAAGTTCCGGATGAAAATAAGCTTCAATTAACAGCCACACATCCTGTGTGAATCTATAGTGCGTTTCTACATCACTATGTTCCAGCATTCGTCACACGTCTCCACTACCTCGTTCAAGTCAAAATCAATACTGTTCCTGCTTCTGCTCTGCCTTGTCCAAGTTAAAGGATGAGGTCTGTACTGGTCAAGTAAGAAATTATTGAAAAACTTCAGAGCAAACAGTTGTTTTTAAATGGGACAACAGTGAGTTAGTCTCAAAATCACGTACATTTAAATGTGTATTTTATTTTGTGATTTTGCCAAATAACTTCCTCCCAACACAGCATTGCAGCCAAGAGAGCAGAAGGGAGGGGTCCTGTTTCATATATTCAAATATCTTTGGCCAGTTTTAAATTTGCCATGTTTATATTTTCTATTAATCTTTTGAGCCCTAAAAAGAAAACTAAACCAATGTGTACAAATATCTTTAAGGCTTATTCACGTCTTCTTCTCCTTACACCTTAAATATGTTAATTATAATGCATTGCGTACTGCTATGTTCTGTTAATACTATAATGCAGTGTTCATGCCAGAAAGATTTTGGAATTAAACTTATAAATGTATGAAAAAAACTGCTATGAACATTCAGATATGTTTATGTATCTTTGACACCCAGGTCAGTAAGAGCCTTTCCTCTGCAGGTGAGACTTCCTCACCGGTCGTCTTGCCTGGGAGGGCAGGAGGCACAGTCCTGCAGCTGGGCAGGGCAAGGCCTCCACAGCGCAACTTGAAACCGGAGTAAAAGGCATGCAAGACAAATGCTCACTGGCATGATCGGCTCAGTCACACCCAAGAAACGAGCCACTGAATCCCATGTGCAGTCAAAGCCGAACGTGACTGAGGTAAGTTTACCAGTCACCCCCGCTGAACCGACATGGGAGGGTTTTTATGGCAGGCAGCTGCGCCGCCCAGTGCTGCGGCACACTCCTTTCCTGCACAGCTGGCCTCCGCGCCAGGAGACTCTGGCAGGAAGCACGCCCAGTGGCACAGATCCAGCACTTCCCTTTCCACACCACAGTCTCCCAGAGCCAGAGCGCATGAGAGCTAGAAATGAGGTCAACTCCAGGAACGCCTCTTGTGTATGGAGAACAAACCCTAACTATTTTCAACAGTGGGTAGAGAACATCTGGATACATGTCAGTCCTTATTTCATATATTTGAGGCTTTTCCTAGAAGAGCAAAATTGTTTTCTAAGGCTAAGGTTTCCGATCTTAAAGCAATTAAATCATGCTTAAACAGGAAAAGAGTAGGGATCCAACCTGCAGGGGGCTGATAGACATTCAAAAGGAAAAACTGAACATTGACTATTTAACAGTATTATCACTGTAACCTGCTTCTGAAGGTTAAATCTCAATTCTAACCTGAGCAAAGACTTAAAGGTTTCTGTTAATCTTCATTCCAGATTTAATATGCAACAAGTCAGAATGAAGGAGATCTGGTACTCAGTCATGAAAATCCAGGCTAGCACACTTTTATACAGACAGACAAGAGCACCTGGTTTTTGCACTTTCAATATATGGTGTTTCACACCATTAAACATCTGAAGTAGACACTGTATATACAAAAAAAAAATACTGTCATTAAAAAAAATACTGTACCTGCAGTATCAAATAATCCTAGGGTGTATGGCTCCCCACCAATCATAACCGTAACTGCATAATTATCAAAGACCTGAAACAAGACAGGGAAAAGATAAATGAGACCTTTGTTCAGTACAAATATTTCAATTATTTTTAAATAGACACTAGAAGGAGCCACTTCACAGTATTTTCTTTCTAAAAGAAACAATAAGCAACCACAAGGGATTGAGGAGCAGTTCTGCCCTTGCACTTCAGAGCCTGTGATCAAGACATGTGGAGAATGTTATTCTGACAGCTATCTGCCATTTCAAAGTCTGACTTCCACACCATTCAACTGCCAAGATGTTTAATGCATTTCGTATCACAAATTGAACCAGAAAAGCAAAAGGATTTTATTTTCTTGTCAAACTTCAACATTATCTCCGATATCCAGTTAGTGTCTCCACTTAAATCGAACTACCCATCTTCCTCTAACAAACTAGCCACATTTTCATGAGGATCCGGTCATAATGGGTATGTGGGTTCACTTCTTAAAGCAACTAGATCAGTGTTTGAAAAGCCTTACTTGGCAACTACCACTTCAGTCTGGGATTCTTAAAAAGTCTGTATACAAGATACTGCTTTCTGAACTGGCAGATCATGACTGCGTCTTAATCTATGAGCTAAGATCTCAACCACAAGATCAGAAGGTGCAATGGGAAGACCAAGTCCACACACCAGAGAGAGCTGAGGCAGCAGATCGAGACTGTGGCGACTCCCACAATGACTAGTAAGAGGCCACTATTAAACAAAGAACCTAAAGTCAGCTACCCACACCCGGGGGCCCTTCAGCACCCCCCCAAATCATCTACTGAAAAAATCCCAATTTGAGCAAGTTGCCTCTGGACTACAGGCAACAACCTGCCCTCTGGGCACACACCTATAACAGCTCATCCACTCATCATTTGCAACACAAAGCTCATAATGTGGCAACATGCTTCCTGCACGATAGAATAAAACACTTCTCAACTCGCCTCCCAATCTAGACCTCCACAGCATTTGACTGCATTTAAATCATCACACAACAATGACAGCTGTGGTGCGAATTTAAAGAACAATGCCCACAAATAAACAGAATATTAACTCCGAAGAGAACAGGACTTACCGTTGGTACATATTCAGAGGGGAATTTGTTGGTTGTATACGAGATTAAGAGACAAGTTTTACCCACGGCACCATCCCCCACCACAACGCACTTAATTGTCTGCATGGCTGCGCTCGGTTAAAATCTGCTACTTTCATTCACCAGGACCTGGAAAAGAGGACAGAGTAGGAGTTAGCATTCAGTTGTATAGCTGAGACCACAATTTTAATTGTACACTAAAAAAAAAGATGTAATAATTAAACTTGGTGTTGTGCATGATAGTAATGCACCCATGTCACTCTGCAACTCACAACTGGCAGCCCACTTGAGCTCAGCAGGTGTGAGCCTGGTCAGTACCTGGATGGGAGACCTCCTGGGAAAAACTAAGGCTGCTGCTGGAAGAGGTGTTAGTGTGGCCAGCAGGGGGAGCTCACCATGCAGTCTGTGTGGGTCCTAATGCCCCAGTATAGGGATATACTTTTTAATTAATAGACACTCTTAAAAAAAGTCAATTCTGATACCTTTTCTCACAGCACATAAAGGATATAAAATGTCGAATTACAACACGAGTGAGACCTAGTTATCACGTGACCAAGAACGTGGAAAACAGTTCAACATGAGTGGTAATTATTATTGTTACGAATTAAGTTTTCACTTAAAATGTAAACCCTTCCTCCATCTTCATCACATTCTTTCCCATCCTCCACTGCAACATTTCCTGACTCAAGCATTTTCACAAGCATTCAGATAATGAACGATATCACAGAACTGTAAGATACAATATTGTGTAACAATTTTCCTCCATGATGCTGCTATCTAGATCTTTCCCCTGCCTAATCCCAGTCTTACCCCTTAATACAAACTGAATACTTATGGAAACTCTGCATGATCAGTTTGCCAACCTCAATTTCATAGAAATCCTTAATTTTAAATCAACAGCTGTCAATCTAACAGCAATATCGTATATTATAACCAAGACAGGAAGAGGGGCATTCTTTTGTCAAAACAATGGATATCACCCATCTTCAGGGTATGTTTCTGCATCTTTTGTTATTTCAAGTTTGTGAAATCTTAGTATATGTGGCCCAGACTGATGACCTGTTCTTTCCAACGAAAGGTCTTATTTGCATTTGGATAGACCATCTCGAAGTGCTTTCGCCCACCTGGGTGAGGAGGAGTAACCATCCTGTGCCAGCAGCCCCTCTACACACCAGATGAGCTAGTGGAGTGAGGAATGATTCCGCTAAGGGTGAAGGTGAGGCCGGGTGAGCGCAAAGCAGAACAGCACAGTCCTGCCACCACACCAGAGCACTGGTTCGGAAATTCTGGTGCACAAGGAAGAGCATCACCTGGATCACTTACGGCAGCAGCCTGGAGTTTTCTTTCGAAGTCACTTAATAGTTCTGAGCAGACTTAGTCCTACTTAGATTTCAACGTGAACCTGAGGCTCCAAAGCGGTAATGCTCCTATAATAATAATAATTTGCTTACACTTATATAGCACTTTTCTGGACACTCCACTCAAAGCACTTTACAGGTAATGGGGACTCCCCTCCACCACCACCAGTGTGCAGCCACACCTGGATGATGCGACAGCAGCCATAGTGCGCCAGAACACGTCAGCTATCACTAGGGGAGGAGAGCAGAGAGTAATGAAGCCAATTCAAAGATGGTGATTATTAGAAGGCCATGATTGGTAAGGGCCAATGGGAAATTTGGCCAGGACACTCCTACTCTTTTCGAGAAACGCCCTGGGATTTTTAATGACCACAGAGAGTCAGGACCTCAGTTTCACGTCTCATTCGAAGGACAACTTGTCTTCATGTAAACGAAGTGGGGAAGTGCGGATGCAGGATCTTTGAAGGGGTGAAACGAGGCAAGACTGACCAGAGGATGCATGTTTTTCATCGTTTCGTCTGATTGCATGCAATGCAGCCTGCTAATTTTAATTTACACATTACAGTCGAGTCCCGATTATTCAACCTAAACGGGACAGATAGTTTGTCAGATAATACGGAAACTGAGTAGACAAATCATATATTAATTGAAGAGCAGCATAAGTATAAAATTTGATTTATTAATCTACTGTAATACTAAAATAACAGAGTACAGAACTATTGATAGTTATTATTTTAAAAAAAAATGAGTGACTGGAATCCGTTTCCCAGATGTGCTTCTCTTCCTTACAGCAAGGTCTCGCCCACGTCTTAGTAACATGACAGCAGCAGCAGTGGCCTCCTCTTGCTGTTCGACGTAAGCTAGTGCCGTTCCGAAAAGATAATCAGAGAAATAATCATCACGAGCGTGATATCAGCAAGCGAAGCACGTCACACACGGAGAGACAGAGCAGCATCGGACTGGGCAAAATATTATGCACGCGCACACAGTGTACTGTATACACTGTACTGTATACACTGCACACTGAGGTGATTGGCTATGTCGGATAAAACAAAATGTCGAATAAACGTAGGTCGGATAAGCGCAACTCCTCTGTACTTTTGTTTTTCTAAACATTACAGTACTCACTGACCACATTTATGGCTGCCAACCTCTCAAAAGCATACAACAGGTTAGTCCCTCACCATTTCTTATTAATAGAGAAAAGGCAGTTTGGCATATTTTGATTTGATTATAGTGTTAGTCCTCAATGTGTATTTGCATTACCCACTTCGCTACCTCACAGAAAGGTACGCTGCTTTTCTGTATACAGAAATGCCAGAAAACTGCATTCTGAATTCAGACCTCATACTGTAAGGGATACTGTAACTTTCCCCACGAGCCCAGATAATTGAGAGCAGTCTGCGGCTGGCTCAGTCAGCAGTGTTTTCTTACTGAAGGCTGTTCTGTTTTTACAGACTGCAGCGTAACAGAATCCGTTAAGCCTGAAGGGAGAAGTTTGCGTTTCTTTGCAGATTGTGTTTCACTCTCTCTGGGTTAAAAACATGTGCAAAGCACAAGAGAAAAATCAGCACAGGTCTTCAGAACAGCTGTGTAAAAGTAGGGTGGATCCAGCTGGAGGGCTTTTTGGGGTTTGTACAGTGCCAGCCCGAACAGGCGTTTCTCATTTCAAGGGTATCGCGGATTTGCAGATAAAAAAGAACTAGTGCAAAAATCTATTTTACATAAATTCAAAATACAGCCTTTCAAAAGGCATCACAGAATGCAGGCAGTCAAACATGAACCCCACCCTCCCTCCGTAAAATCTTCCTTCACTTGATCGCCCAGGCAACACACACTGCAGAAGAAGCAATCTCATGTGTTTTACGGACATCTTGAAACAGCAACAGTTAATGGCTTTGCTTGAAATATTTAAATTTGTTGCTCAAAACCACACCACAGAAATCCATATTTGAGCAACAATGGACACAAACGTGTGGGGAAAAAAAAGTCATAATAAATTTTTCACAGAGCAGTTATGCATTTTACACCATTCAGCCCCTTGTATTTTTTACAGTGTGTGGACTCAAATGAAAGCTTGCAATTCACAGTATAACAGAACAGCTTTCAACCTTCGTGCTGCCTTACAGCATGAAAAAGTCATTACAGTAAAAATACTCCTTTTGCTTAATTAACTCACAGAAGTGGCCTGTAATGGGCTGTTCTATAGCTGGAAGCATTACCTTTAATACCTTATATGTACAAATTATACAACATACAGTTCTCAATTTATAAGTATGGTAATTGTAGTTCAAACATACTTGTTATATGCAATGTATCTTCTTTTAATTCAGTATTTTTTCCAGAACCCTTTTCTGTATACAGAAATGCAAGAAACCCTTTGGCAGATGGAATAAAGTTGCTTCATATCAGAGATTGACTTGAAACAGATCTGAACAGCAAACACGAGTTCTGTACAAGTGTGATCTAAAAACTAAAGAGATCAGTAGCGTGTTCAATTTCTCCACATGACCCCCTTCCAGACAGTCAACTTCATTCGCTTCATTTTAATTCATGTAGGTATTAAAAGAAGGATAACGAATACCTGGAGAAATCAGGATGGAGGGCAAACGTACTCCTTTTCACACCCGTGAAAGCTCATCACAGGTGTGAAGCAGTGAAACTTGCTCCTAAAGAGGAGCTTTCATCAAGCGTCACGCTGCTCATCGAGAAAGCCACCTCTGGAAATCCTGGACAGCCCAGAGAGAGCAGCAACCCATTTGGAAAAGTCCTAAAAGAACATCCTTCATGCCAGAAAAGACAAGAATACTCCTGGCGGTGGAGAAAAACCGCTTGAATGAACAGGGCTGCCGCTGGCCTGGAAGAGATGGACGGCGCTGACAGAGCTTTATTAAGTCCACCTTCTTCGCTGCTTATTGTTTTTCTTGGAGGGGCCTGTACATGCTGACCCAGGCTCTTCTCGCAGGAAATTAACACATTCCTAGGCCAGCCACACCATCGCATTTAACTACTACTTTATTGCTCACGGAGGGCATATGCAAACAGCTCCCACAGCTTGTTAACAGAGCGACGGCTGTAGAACTTCGCTAACGGAGTGGGTCAGCGCTCATTTACAAACTTAAGCCCAATGACAAACTATACCTGAAAACAATGGCAAATTTTAATCAAAGGCACTAGAATCCCAGTTCCGAGGGTCAATTATTCATTCATGCTTTTAACCAAAGTAATAGCTAAATCTCTACTAGTTGCTCATTTATGCCTGTAAAGCGTAGAAACAAAAGCACAATGAAGTTAAGATGCATTAAAGAAGGGCCAATTACATCAAATAAGGTTGAGTTTGAATTATAAGGAAATGATGAAAATGTGACCCTGAATGGTAGGGTTGTGGCACTGATGTTAAAAAAGTATCCTTTCCCCAGAAGAAAAAAAAAGGTCCTTTCTGCCTTGTCATGCAGTAGCAGTTTCACCACCACCTTAAGAAAGGATGGAGCTGTTTCTGTGGCTCCTTCTGGTTAAGCTGAAAAGCCAAAACCCTCAGAATGTTGCTCTTGAGCTGCTCTCTCTGAACATAACAGCACACCACTAAACACGCAGTTTTCTTATTATTCACCCCACATCCTGGACAATGTCAGTTACATCTATTACAACACCTTCACATACTGATTGAGCCCATGATAAAATGGAAAGTTAGGTTCTTAGTCCCTGCACTTGACGGCAAGGGTCATTAATATCTTGAAATTGTCAAGGTTTATTCCCAGATAGAAAAAATAA